GGGGGGTCACCACCACATGAGGAATTATATGAAAGAGTCTCACAGCATGAGGCAGGGTGGGAACCAGTGCTCTTGAGAAACAAGTGGCATTATTAGGCATGAGAAGAAGCTCCCAGTTCAGACCCACTGTATCAGACTGTCAGGAACGAGAAGACTCATTGTAGCACCCAGAAAGGAGTCCCTGCTGGTGTAATGGGTTACAAGCTGGACTGCCTAACCCCAGGGTGAGCAGTTAAAACCCAGCCACACCAAGGGCAAAAGATGACACGGTAATGATTTTCCATCTCAGAAACCCACAGGGGCAGTTCTACACTGTCCTTTGGGGTCGCTATGAGTCCAGTCAACTCGATGGCAGGGAGTTGTTTTGTATTAATCATTTTAGTGGAAGTTCTTACCGATACCATAACCTTCCATAGTTCAGTGACATCGAGCAATATTGTACACTTGTTACCACAACCAGTTTCAAAACATTCTCCTTCTTCTAGACCTCGATATCTACTCCCCTTTATCTCCTCCCTACCCCAAAACCCTTATTGCTAATACATAAATATATATTGTGCCATATCTTATACTATCTAATATGTCCATTCACCTACAATTCTGTTGTTCTCTCCCCTCGAGTGGGGTTACACATTCATTATTGCTATAAGCTCCCTCTTCCCCAACCCCTTCTCTCCCAGTACTCTCAGGAAACCGTTACTCACTTTACTTTCTCAGGGAGTGGGTACCTACATTGGCTTTCATGCTTCAAACCATCTTAATTTTACCAATGACCATGTGCAAGTCTAACAAGGTTAATGGGGCAGAACTGAAAGCATAATAGCAGGGGGAGGAAATACTAAAGAACTAGAGCAGCAGTTCTCAACCTGTGGGTCGAGACCCATTTGGGGGCCGAATGACCCTTTCACAGGGGTCGCCTGATTCATTACAGTGATGAAGTAGCAACGAAACTAATTGTATGGTTGGGGGTCACCACAACACAAGGGACTGTATTAAAGGGTCACGGCCTTAGGAAGGTTGAGCACCACTGATCTAGAGGATAGTTATGTGCTTCATCAGTGCTATACCGAGCCCTAGCTACATCATCCCTAACTTTTGGCCCTTCTGTGAGGAACTAATTATCTTACAGATGGGTTATGAGTCTCTCCTATATTCACGCTCCGTTTTGAGTTGAGTGAGCCTTAGCTCAGTCCTTGCTCCGTCTCACCTCACCTGGAGGACTACCAGTTGGCTCTTGTCTCCATTTCTGCCCTACCTGGCCCTCCCCAATCAAAAGCAAACAAACAAACTAGTCCCACTGTCAATTGAAACCCTACTGTGACCCTATAGGGTTTGTGAGACTGTAAATCACTCCAGGAGCAGACAGCCCCATCTTTCTCCCAGTGAGATGAGGAGCCTGGGGTTTGAACCGCCAACTCAGTAGTTAACAGCCCAAGGCCTATCCCAGAATGCCATCATAAATCTGACTCTGCATGTCTTTGCTTAACACCTTTCAGTGCAGGGTAAAGTCCCTGCCTTGCTCTGTACACATATTATCACTTTGCGGGGGTTTTTAAAGTTTTAGTTTTAGTTTTTGTGATGTCTTTAATTTCTGTGTATGATATGCTATAGTGAACATGTCCCAACTCCACCTCCCGTTTCAGGAAAGGAACTGCTACTTTTCAGACTTTCCTCTGCTGAGTTAGGGTGTCGGAATTGGCTTGGTCAATCTTAGGGCTCTTATTTAAATCTTGGTGTGCATGTCAGACACTAAGTTACCTCTCTCCTGCCTTCTTCTCAGCTCTTGTTCTGGAAACAGGAAGCCTTTGTCCTCACTCAGAGGTTTTTCAGGCAAAGTGAACCGGGGAAAGTGCTTCTTTGGGGTGAGGAAGGGGAGATGATATTCCCAGTGCCTCTAAAAATCACTCCCTTTAGAAGCAAGCAGTCAGCTTCACTTCACAAGCGACCCCTCCTCTTGGAGTGGGCTTGGTGAAGCAGTTTTGAGACTGGCGGCCCTTGGGGACTAAGGAGGGTGTCTCAGGCCTCACTGTGGGAAGAGGGTCCTGGGGGCTGGGCTGATGAGGGCTCTTTGGAGATCTGCTGTCTCAAAGTTAACGCTATGCTTTGTGACTCTGACAAGACCCTTCCCCTTTCCGTAGCCCCAGAAACAATCAGCTCATTACTTTTCAGGGGTCAAGGTCTCCTCCAAGAACTCCTCGATCTTATTGACATCCGTCTTCACGTCGCCGTTGAAGGTCAGGAAAGGTGGATGGGTCCCAGGGGCTAGGTTGTGCAGATCGGCTGGCTTCCTGTAGAGAGAGCGAGAGTCAGGCATTGGCTTACACTAGGGGTCTTCATGTTCAGGGAAGCTGGGGCCTTTAACCTGAAAATTAGACTTCCTGGGCTGTCCAACATGCCCGCTGGAACAATTGATAGTGTTGGATATCTGGAAGGAAGGTGGAAGAACATTTTGAAAAACTGGAGGGACACAGGAAATCAGCAGCGTGCAAGTGGGCGAGGGCTGGATGAACTTGAATCCTGGTGGAGAATGGCCACAGATGACCGTTTAAATTAGTGTCGAGCTTTAATTATCCCGAGGGGAGCCTGGGCTCTGCTTTCAAAAGTTCCTTCACCTATTAGTGGAACCAAGATCACTATGTAGAATTTCAGCCTTTGAAAATGAATGAACGAAACCACACCTTCATCCCCAAAGATGATCTCAATAGGAAGATAATGTAATATTTCATCTTGGGCTATTGTAATCTTACAAGAGTCTCAAGCAGATAGGCATACTCTCTCAAACATAAAGAGGTTGGGTCATGTTGGGATGCCAGTAGTCTGTGTAACTTAAACTCCAATCACTCATAACTAAAGTCTAACACCAGCCAGTCTTCTGTCAGACTCAACGGAACACTTTTAAAAAAAAGCTATCAGACAGAAAGCATGGCAGCTCAAGACCCCTGAGGGCAGGGACCCAGGACTGTGTCAGAAATAGAGGTCCTCCGTCCCCTTGCAGAAGGGCTGCAGGGAGGAGATGAGCCAGTCAGGGTGCAGTGTAGCAATGATGAAACATACAATTTCCCTCTAGTTCTTGAATGCTTCCTCCCCCCACTACCATGATCCCAATTCTACCTTACATATACAGCTGGACCGGAGGATGTACACTGGCACAGATAGGAACTGGAAATACAGGGAATGCAGGACAGATGAACCCCTCAGGACCAGTGGTGAGAGTGGCGATACTGGGAGGGTGGACGGAAGGTGGGGGAGAAAGAGGGAACAGATTACAAGAATCTACATATAACCTCCTCCCTGGGGGACGGACAGCGGAGAAGTGGGTGAGGGAGACGTCGGGTATTGTAAGATATGACAAAATAATAAGACTTTATAAATTATTAAGGGTTCAGGAGGAAGGGGGGAGCGGGGAGGGAGGGGGAAAATGAGGAGCTGATACCAAGGGCTCAAGTAGAAAGCAGGTGTTTTGAGAATGATGATGGCAACATAGGTACGAATGTGCTCGACACAATTGATGTATGTATGGATTGTGATGAGTTGTATGAGCCCCTAATAAAATGATAAAAAAAAAAAAAGAAATTGTATGCATCCACTTCCAATTGTTTCAAAACAATGCTTTCTTTTCATCTAAATCAATTCCAAACTTTACATAAGCATTTATGTTGCAAGAGAAATCAATTGATTTAAAAACAATTAAGCATAAAAGAGCTTTAAAAATCACAGCTAAGACATTTTTCCAAAGGAGAGTACAGAGAGCACACACAAAAGATTGCCATCACAGGAAACCCTAATCTGCTGCCTCTCTCTACTAATCGTTCTGTTTCCATAGGTCTTATATGTCATGCCAATTTGTACCAGAGTTTAATGAGAGAAATGATGGTTTCTAACTTGGTAGTACGTATACATTTTTAAAGATTTTTAAAAATGAAATTTCATTTTAAAAATAGACAAACTACTAGATACAAGTGAAGAAAACAGAAAAATTCAGGTTTTCACAATGAAAATATGAGTGCATTAAAAATAAGTTAGAAAAGCATGCAAAATTAGAACCCAGTGACTGTTCACCAACCCAAAGTTGGTGAAAATTTTAGTCCAACCCTGAAAGCTTAGGGATTTACTATGGCTAGAGTGTTGGTAAGTGGATAGTCACACTTTTGTAGTATTTCCACTTTGTAATTCAGTTCAAGACACATTATTATTCTTAACTTTTCAGTGCTAGGTTAAGTTTTACTAGAATGTTATTTTTCTTAAATATGGATTTAATTAGGTTTAACTTATATATGGAAACTATGCCATTATATCAGAAATTGTACTCACATGTTAAGTTATACACAATTTATTTCCAAATGTAAACCAGTCTTCTATTTTCTAAGTGGATTCATCAAGGAAACTCTTCCTTTTTAAAGCAGACTTTTTCTGGGACCAATATGAACTCAATAGGTGAAGCGTTTGCATAATAGGCAGCAAATTCATCCCCTAAGAACAGAGAGGATCTCTTGGTACACCTGTGGGATCCTGAATGAAATCTAAGATAACCAAAACAGCCATCCTAAATTATCCAGAGAAGAAAGCCCAAATGATGGAGTAGATGGTGAATACTAAATGCATGTACACTGAATAAACACATAATTCATTGAACTGTCTGTCATTCTTTAGCCCATAGCAATGCTTGATTTCACCGAGGTAGTATGCTGACTTTTTGTTTAAAACAATTGCACTATTAGGGACATCTGGTGAATTTTGACTCAAAGCAACCACTTCCAGGGCTATAAACCTTCAAGGAAGCAGACTTTAATGGGTTTAGGTCACCAACCTTTCTATCTTTCTATTGGTAGGTGCTCAGCAGGGCTTCTATAACATGTACAGCAGGAAGGAAAAAGACCTTGTGTCTTAATGGACTTGTTCATGCCAAAGAAACACTAGCGCTCAATGCGCTTAGGTGCTCACCTGCTAATTGTGAGTTTGCTGGTTTGAACACACCTTCTGCTCCAGGGAAGATTACAGTCTGGGAAACCCTATGGGGCACTTCTCCTCTGTCATCTGGAGTCACTTTGAGTTGAAAATTGACTCGATACAAACTACCCACAGCAATTAAAGCCCAAAGACTTGGCTCCTTGCTTTTCTCAGCTGGTCTGAGGAAAAGGAAAATAGAGCAAAGGGCAGGGAAGCAGGATGATGAACTGGAGACAATAAGGTTGAAATGAAGGATGGAATACGGTTGGAAAAGTTTGAACTAAGACGAGTGAGAAAGAAGGAAAGAAAGGTGGAGAATCCCATGAGGAGGACTGGGACATCAGATTTACCCCAGACGCTGTCTCTGTGAGAACACAGCATTTCTGTGGGAGTTGAAAGTGGAAAATATTGCATGGAGAAGCTGGGGAAAAAATGAGGAGAGAGGAGTCGGTAATAAAATAAATTCCTGGTGTAATCAGTTTGGGAGGGGAAGAGAAGAATTTCAATTATGGTGCTACTCCCATGCCATTCCCCCAAGACACATACTCTCCACACATAACCCTGTGGCACTTGAAACTCCTTCAACAATTGAGCCAGAAAGTATTTTAAAAATCTAATTCATTTGGTCGCTTTGTTTACTTTGTGTGTGTCCCTCATTTCAGACCATGCGAGGACATTCTTTAGTTTCTCTTCTTGTTTTTTAGAGCTGATATAAGACAACAGCGCTTGGCTTCTCCTCTAGAAAGGGAGAGCTATACTCATTTGATGTTTCAGCTGCCACATCCCTGTGTTTTCCCCTCCCGGGTCTCTCTAGAGGACAGAGATCTCTGGAGCCTGACACAGAGGACAGTAATGTCTACGGCTCTCAAAGCCACACTGTACCTGCCGTTATCATGTTATCTCTGTGTTGGCCCTTTCAACATGTAAAGTTGAAATTATAGAATTAGCATTTAATTACATGTGTTGAGGTGCCATCCAGTCTGATTGGGCTCACAAAAATGCACTGACATTGGCTTGATTCTGAGTCATAGTAACCCTGTAAGACAGAGTAGAACTGCCCTGTGCGTTTCTGAGACTACACATCTTTATGCAAGTAGAAAGCCTCATCTTTGTCCCACGAGTAGCTGGTGGTTTCAAACTGCTGACCATATGGTTAGAAGCTCAACCCGTAACCCACTGTGCCACCAGAGCTCCTTTGGAATTCAGAGACCCTATAAACAATAGAGCAAAATACTACTCTCTCATGTGCCATCTCACAATCTTTGGTATGTTTGAGCCGATAGTGTCCATCCATCCTATTGAGGGGCTTCTTTTTTCACTGGCCCCCTTTTCTCCCAAGCATGATGGTCTTCCCCAGGGACTGGTCCCTCCTGAGAACATGACCAAAATAAGTAATACCAAGTTTGGCCTCCTTGCTTCCACGAAGCCTTTTGGCTGTACATCTTCCCAAACAGACAGAGTTGTCTGTTCTGACCCTCTACAGTAATTTCAGTATTCTTCAGCACCACCATTCCGAGGCATCGGTTCTTCTCTGGCCTTCCCTCGTCATCACCCAGCTTCCACAGACACAGGAGGCCACTGAGAAAGCAACGGTCGACTCAATCAGACCCGGGTCCTCAACGCAGGACCTTTGCTCGTCAGCACTACAGAGAGAGGTTTTGCAGTAGACGTGCCCGATGCAATATGCTCTTTGATTTTTCTGACTGATGCTTCTATGAATGGGTTGTAAGCCCAAGTAGAACTAAATCCTTATCATTTCAGTCTTTTTTCCATTTATCATAATGTTGTTTATTAATCCACTTGTGAGGTTTTTTTTAGTATAAGGAGCAATTCATACTGAATGCTGTAGTCTTTAATTTTCATTAGTAAATGCTTTAAATATTCTTGACTTTCAGTACAGAATGTTGAGTCATATTGCAGGTTGTTAATAATCCTCCCTCTAAACCTGATGCAGTGTCCTTCTTCGTATGTCTTAACTTCTCAGATTATTTCGAAGCCACACAGATTGAGTACTTATGATGCAATGATGGTCCTGACACACACCTTCCTGATTTTAAAACCTTCTCTGTCTGTTTGTTCTGCTCAAACAACTGCCTCATCGATGCACAGAATCCAAATGAACGCAATTAAGTGCTCTGGAATTACCAATCTTTGCTATGCAATCCATAGTGTGTCATGATGTACACAATTGAACGCCTTTATATAGTCAATAAACCGTAAACATCTTTCTAGTGTTTTATGTTTTAAGCCGAGATCCATCCAATATAAGCAATGCTATCTCTTTCTATAAGCTCTTTTGACTCTGGCTTTAATTTCAGGCAGCTCCCTGTTAACGTCCTAC